ACAAATGTTGTTAAATGATCTTGGTGTATCAATTACAGTGGAAACCGATTGTTCGAAACGCCAACAAAAAAAAAAAAAAAAAGAGAGAAAGAGAAACACAGAATGTGTAGAGTTGTACTATACAGTACTGTACACATCACAGACCAAACTATCCATGTAACTGGAAATAATTAAGTTATCTGTCGATTGTGGCGCCGTGAAACTAGATCATTCGTGGCCTGCGACTTACGTTATCCTACTACTACAGTCCTGTGCATCTGTAACGAATAGCGTTCGCTCTTATTTTCGGATTTTCTTTGATAGAATTCACTTTTACAAACATTTTTTTCTAACTCTCTGCCGTGTGGAAACTAAGAAGGCTTTTTTTAACAAGCCCATTATGAGTTCGGCCGGATTTATCGAGCTCCGTCCCTTACCACTGGGCCCGACATATCCAGACCGATCACCCCTGAAAAATTCCTGGGGATTTTTCCACCCGTCCGGATTCGATCCCGGGTCACCCAGAGCGGTAGGCTTTGACCGCTCGGCCATCCGACTTTCTTTTACGGACATTTGAGTATAGCGTTGTGCATTTTTCATGGAAAAACTATTACTTTTACAAAATAAAGCAACATAAGTTTTAAATTAAAATAGTCAATTATATATAAAGGGTTTTAACTGTACATTGTGATTATTATTATTTTTTATAAAAATATCTAACGGATTTATTCAAAAATATAGATTTTGAGATAATTTATTTAGTGATACTCCTGACATTTCATTATATTATATATAAAGGGTTTTAACTGTAAAAATTTTTATAGGCTTTATTTTTATAATAGTGATAAGTTTATAGACTTCATTTTAAAGTAAAAGCTTTTTTCTATATGTTATTTCTTCGAATCTTTATGTACAGGTTGTTAATCGGCTTGCCTATTATTGCACTATTATTTAAATATTTTATTTGTATTTATTCTATGAATATAACAGATCTACATACGAATATAAACTATTTTAAAATGGTTTATATTTATAAAGAATTCCTTTGATTCTTATGTGGCATTTGTGGTCATGTGTTTGGTTTATGGTCAAAAACGTTCTGTATTTAAAATTTTCGTTTTTTGAATTTAGCAGTTTTATTCTTAGATAATTTACTGAAATAAATTAAGAAACAAATGAGCATTTCATTAATGTTTATTTAAAATACTAAATAAATAGAACTTACTTTAAATACTACACAAACAAAACATTTAACACAGTATAGATCAACATTATGTAGACAAATTGAAAATTAAACAGCCACTTAAAAATATACAAATATTTAAGGCCTTTGAATTTTATGTATTATTAAAATTGTAAGTTTACTTACTTGGAATTAATTAATAATAATAAACTTTACTCTCACATAGTAGTGTCTAGACTTATTACAAAATGATGTTTTTCAGATTTTCTTCACTTATCTAACACCCAAATATGGTTAGTTTCCTATAAATGTAGGGTTAGTTCTCCTTGAGGCACCCTCTTGGTTACAGACAGGTAACCAAATGATCGTTCACGGGAGATCCGTCTATCATCTGTGTATCCCACGAAAACCAAACAAACCATTTACTTAATCTTTGACTCCTGGCCTAGCGAAAGAAACGAAATAAAGTTGGACCGCCTACGGCAACCGAGAAAAGTAAATCAAATAGGCGCCCCGGAAATCGATGAATCATAACAAAACATTTTAACAAGTGGGCGAATACTCTAGTATTAAAATATAAATGTATCGTTTGAGAAAGCAATAAAGCTTATCATAGAGAACAATCGTCCATCTCGCCTTTATTGATTTATTCCTATTTCTTCGGCAAGAAATTCGTAAATTCCAGTCCTAGAGAAAACATATATCAATACCACTGGAGAAGTGTCGATTTTCGTCGAGATACCGACGTCATCCACATATCGTTTTAGTTTTCTTCCTTTATAAAAGAACAGGGATTCTATCTCCTGCAGAGACCAAAGATCTTTATCAAAACGAAATCCAATCAAATATACAAAATAAAGTGAGAGACGCGGCAACTCTCAAATTGCGAGAAAATTTTCGGCTATCCGGTCTCCATTCGAAAAATACGTTATCCTGGACGCAATCAAATGGGATGGTCCATGCGGTTACGCAATCTGCTTGTTGCATCGAAGAACCTAGTGGATCTACAAATTTTTATAAGAGAGTCGATTCGTATCGGTCAACTTAATATTTGAAGAAATGTTTGGTGGCCAAAATTCGTTGACGAGTTCGTCGATACACCTATGCTCTTCCAAAATTCATCGATGTATTTTAAAAGTGTTCCAAAAAAGTTTGAATAATTGCCTGTCATTTTGACATCAAATAATTCTAACGTTAGTTCTCATATTATACTCATAGGACGGTACAAGGTTACTTATTTTTGAGTCAGAATAGCCACTTTATGACATAAAACGCAAGACGTGATTCATTAGGTCCTGTGTATAAAGTTTCAAAAACTAAGAATGTCTGCAGAAGAGTAACTGTCTTCGTTAACTGATATTCAGTAAGATACATAAACGGAAAAAGTTTAGTGAGAACGTGCAATTATTTGACGAGACCCCTTAATAATTGTCAGTTTACAGCAGGTAGACCAGAAATAAATTATTTCAGGGCGGGCGGTTGAGTGGGCGAGAAAATTTTAGGGTTGGCTGGCACAAATATTCCAATACATTTTCAATTTTTCAATTAATTTTATTGTGTGTTACAAATGGTACATATTCTTGACGTCCCAATTCTAATATTTTTATAGGTTTTTATTACCTTCGATTCTGACATAATACATTTGTACTGTTTGTACTATTTTTAGAATTATTATATAAATTCGGTTTACTTTCAATAAATAATTCTAAATTACTCAAGACAATAGTTTATATCAATAAGAGTCTACATTTAATGGTATTTTTATGGGTTTTAATCCTCCTCCCAAAATTTGAATGTCGTTCACAAAAGTTAGATAAAAATTTCTATTCATCAATATTTATAATATTATTTAGATTTAACTTTTTAATTTCAGAGTTAACCTTACTTTTCAACTTTTTATTTCCCCGGACAGACGAATATATAATATATATAACAATATTTATATAATTATATATAACAGACGAAAAGTATGGCAATCGATGAAAAAAATGACCCCCCAAAATTTTTAAATTTTGGACCCAAAACGTCGAAAAACGAAAAAAATTTAGTTTTTTTTTTCTGTATGCATGGATATTAGTGTATATAGAAGCATAGCGGCTTTATTCACTCAATGTGAAGCTTAATAACTCCTGTGTCTTTTGTCGAAAATTTCTGAAATTTTTCAAAGAGATTTATATATTAGAGAGATTGACGCTATTAAATTTTGGTGTTAAAGGTCAAGTGGGGATCGTGTATCATATCTCGAGTAGGGTCGGACATAATGACGATTTTACTCATTAATAGCATTTGTAATTTCGTTTTTTCCTTCATTTAGCTTCTTGTTTGCTAAATCCTACTAAAGTGTTACTTCAGCAACCTATTAGTAGCGGTCGAGGTAGCAGCCTACCGCTCTGGTGACACGATACTGAATCCGGACGGGTCGAAAAGCCGGTAGTCATTCATTCATTCATTATGTTTTATTGTACCAAAAATAAGTATAAGACCAGGCCCCGCATTTGGCATTACCTGATGACATAGTTAATGGAATACAAGAGAAAATTACAGTATTTCCCGAAACGCAATGAAATCAAATGCATAAAAAATAGACAATACGATACAAAACAAACATGAGGTACGCGAGAAGAGACCAGAATTACAGTATAACGCAATACTTTAGAACAGGGGTGTCCAACCTTTTTGTTTCTTTGGGCCACATTGGAAAAAGTCATGGAGTTTTGGGCCACAAGTNTCCAAAATTCATCGATGTATTTTAAAAGTGTTCCAAAAAAGTTTGAATAATTGCCTGTCATTTTGACATCAAATAATTCTAACGTTAGTTCTCATATTATACTCATAGGACGGTACAAGGTTACTTATTTTTGAGTCAGAATAGCCACTTTATGACATAAAACGCAAGACGTGATTCATTAGGTCCTGTGTATAAAGTTTCAAAAACTAAGAATGTCTGCAGAAGAGTAACTGTCTTCGTTAACTGATATTCAGTAAGATACATAAACGGAAAAAGTTTAGTGAGAACGTGCAATTATTTGACGAGACCCCTTAATAATTGTCAGTTTACAGCAGGTAGACCAGAAATAAATTATTTCAGGGCGGGCGGTTGAGTGGGCGAGAAAATTTTAGGGTTGGCTGGCACAAATATTCCAATACATTTTCAATTTTTCAATTAATTTTATTGTGTGTTACAAATGGTACATATTCTTGACGTCTAATTCTAATATTTTTATAGGTTTTTATTACCTTCGATTCTGACATAATACATTTGTACTGTTTGTACTATTTTTAGAATTATTATATAAATTCGGTTTACTTTCAATAAATAATTCTAAATTACTCAAGACAATAGTTTATATCAATAAGAGTCTACATTTAATGGTATTTTTATGGGTTTTAATCCTCCTCCCAAAATTTGAATGTCGTTCACAAAAGTTAGATAAAAATTTCTATTCATCAATATTTATAATATTATTTAGATTTAACTTTTTAATTTCAGAGTTAACCTTACTTTTCAACTTTTTATTTCCCCGGACAGACGAATATATAATATATATAACAATATTTATATAATTATATATAACAGACGAAAAGTATGGCAATCGATGAAAAAAAATGACCCCCCCCAAGATTTTTAAATTTTGGACCCAAAACGTCGAAAAACGAAAAAAATTTAGTTTTTTTTCTGTATGCATGGATATTAGTGTATATAGAAGCATAGCGGCTTTATTCACTCAATGTGAAGCTTAATAACTCCTGTGTCTTTTGTCGAAAATTTCTGAAATTTTTCAAAGGGATTTATATATTAGAGAGATTGACGCTATTAAATTTTGGTGTTAAAGGTCAAATGGGGATCGTGTGTCATATCTCGGGTAGGGTCGGACATAATGACGATTTTACTCATTAATAGCATTTATAATTTCGTTTTTTCCTTCATTTAGCTTCTTGTTTGCTAAATCCTACTAAAGTGTTACTTCAGCAACCTATTAGTAGCGGTCAAGGTAGTAGCCTACCGCTCTGGTGACACGATACTAAATCCGGACGGGTCGAAAAGCCGGTAGTCCTTCATTCATTCATTCATTATGTTTTATTGTACCAAAAATAAGTACAAGACCAGGCCCCGCGTTTGGCATTACCTGATGACACAGTTAATGGAATACAAGAGAAAATTACAGTATTTCCCGAAACGCAATGAAATCAAATGCATAAAAAATAGACAATACGATACAAAACAAACATGAGGTACGCGAGAAGAGACCAGAATTACAGTATAACGCAATACTTTAGAATATTGCACTAGTTATAAACAAAGCTCATTATATACTGTACCAAAAAGACGCGCACAATTGGCAGTAGCCTAACATGAAAGTTAGGCTCGTTAACAAGAGTAAAATACAAAATAGATCTGTATGTTCAGAAGAAATAGTATACATAGATTAGTCCTTACATGTGACTTTCTGTAAATATTGGTTTTTAACTCTTATATAACTAGGGCATTCTTTGTCCATAGCATTGTAATGAAATTGTTCACGTTTTTCTTTTACACAATTGGTGCAACGTTGTAAAGATACTGAATTTGTACAGTCTTTAAACAAGTGATCACCTTGGAAATGACTGCAGACACGTTTTGGGGACGGGCATTCCTTTGCAATATGTCCGAAAGCTAGACACTTGAAGCACTGTCTAACTGGAATGTATTCGAACACCGGACAACTACTCCACTTGATGTACATCTTTCCCTCCCTAAGTAATCGTTCTCTGATACTTGGAGTGACCTCAATTATCCATGAAAGTGTGAGGGATGAACAGAGCCCCATTAAAGTGTTATTTTGGACTTTAATTATTGGGAAATTCAATCGTCTAACTTCGAGCGTTTTATCAAGTTAGGCTAAAAGCCATAAAAATTTATTTCCCACGAAGTTGGTTCCTGGTTGAGGAAGATCCAGCTAGTCAGTGATGTGTCACCCGGAACTTTCGATAAAGTGCCCACATTGGACGCCAGACTCTTAACAACTGCCTGACCTCATGGGAAAAACCCAAGAGGAATAACAAGGGAGAACGAAAAAAAAACCACCCAAAGTCAGTCGTCTTCCAAAGTCCGTCCACCAAAGTCGTCCTCCAGGATTTGTACCGAGACCAAGACTCCCGGATTAATACCGTGCCTCTTGCCAGCTGCTATTGGATACACACTTTTTGAAGTGGATATCATCCCCACTTCAGTGCCTTCACACCTCCGGGCTCCTGTTAACGGACAAGAATTTGAGCGAACATTCCATCGGCGGTGTCATCTGACCACAGATCTTCGACCCAAAAGAAAGGTATTTATCAACCCGCGATTCGTTTGTAAACTCTCTCTCTCGAACGGCCTAGTATAATTAGGGGCTATGCTAAAAATCGAATATATTTGTATTTTCTTTTGTTATAATTAAAATTGTTATTTATTTGTTATTATGAAATCCGAGTGAGTCACTTCTTCGTCTCTCTCCTCACCTCTACTCCGAATCCAACCGCTCACCCGCTACCGCTCGCGTGACATAAAGTCCCGATTTCCGAGTCCTGCGAGACTCGGTAGTGTCACATCCTGACGTGGTGTCAAAGAGACACCGACCCTACGGTCACAAAAGATATTCACTGTTTTTTTTTTGTTTTAATGCATATTTAACTCTAACATGATCTGGAAATTCATCTTTCTCAACACGGAGCACCAAATAATTTTGTTCACAAATGTGTTTTTCAAGATCATCTTTAGTGATTGACTTAGGAACTGAAACGATCTTAATAAGAGGTCGTTGTAGGTTTCCTCTACGAGCTCTGAGTCCCGGGACTTTCTCCAATAAGCATTCCAAAGCTTTAGCATCTGAATTATTGCAACCATCAATTGCGACTCTCCCCTGTTTTCCCCCTAGTTTTTCTTATCTTTTTTATCCCTACGCCAGCTACTATTGGATACACACTTTTGATTAAAGTTGCTCTTGTTTGTTCAGAGGTAAAGTTCTCGTTTTCACTATAAACCAGTACTGTAAAGGTGGGTGAAGGTGATGACGGTTTTGGCTTTGGTTGCATTGTTGTCAAGCCTCTGATAAGTATTGTACTATATGACGGAACAGAAGAAACAGAAGTTTCATTTTTACTCTGTATAATATTGTTTTTAATCAATTCACTGATTTCTTGCTTGGTATTATGGACATCCTCTTGAATGTTTTTATTACAAATTTCCAGGGCTTCTTTGATATCTTCTGTAGTCGCTAAATTCCCTATTTTATTGTTTGGAATCGCTGTTATGCAAGCTTTCTTGATGGCAGCCTTAGTTAATTCAATCATCCTGTTAAGTTGTTTCACTATAAACTTGTTATGTTGTACAGTCCCCAGTCGGCCATCCTTATTAGCAGTGATATATTTTTGTGTCTTTTGAATAATGCCGAAGGCATTATTCAAAAGACAAAAAAATATATCACTGCTAAGCCTGGCGAAAGTTTTCCATTATTTCTGTCTCCATGTCAATCAACAGTAAGTAACTTATTACTAATTAAAACTAATTAAAAACTACTTAAAATTAAGTCGCGTTACAATTTAGAAGTTTTATCTTCGGAAAACAAAGAAAAATATCAGTAAGGAAGCGATGAGTCAGTCAGCAACGATTCCAAGTCCGTTGGCGACCGTTATTACCGTTGACAGATCATTAGCAGTACAAGTGGAAAAAGTCTTCAAAAGTTTAAATCGTCGCCATTCAAGTTCTATTTGAAGTATGTCTTCGAAAATTATTCAGTAAGGAGTACTTATGGTTCACTACCGGAGACGGTTAAAATTTTTCACGGATGTCAACACGTAGGCCCGATGCGGTCCACCTAATGTCAAACGAAAAAGTCCAAAAACTGAAAAACGGATGAAACAAAATGCACAAAAATTGGAGATCTAACTCATCCTTCGATGTATTGTCCTACACCGTTCACAATTTCCGGAAAAAAGGTCGTAGAAATTACGAAAAATCAGTCCGAAAAAACGTGAACTTTAAGTCTTCATATTTCCAAAAATATTGGGTCCAAATTATCAATTTTTGTATCAGAAGAGTCACAATCACTAGTTCTATCCAGATGATCACAAAAATACCTAGAAACAGATTAACCTATCGAAATCACGAGAAATCGAGGAGCTCGATTTTGAACACACACACACACACACACACACACAGCAAATAGAAGAGACGGGTTCAAAGCCGGTAGTCCGTCCAGATGTGTCAGATTCTGTCCCTCACCACCTAGCAGCTTCATTGTGGGCCTGGCCGAACCCATAATAGGCTTGTTAAAAGAGGCCCTGTTAGTGCCCACAGGACGGAAAGGGTTTAAAATAAGGAAAAACAGTTAGTTCTGTTTTTCCAAACTTATCACAACGACTTCGTTATGTTATAACAGTCTTCTTTTATTCTCTTTAAGTATCTTTAATACTATTTGAAGTTTTATTCTAATACTTGTATGTTTAACAATTTAAAAGCCTTATCATTAGTGTTTGACAAATCCTAAATATGATTAATTCTTTTAAAGACAAAGTCCTTTCCAAAAAACATAGGAACCACCATTTATTAACTTTGTGTTCCAGACATTATACTTTTGGAGACTGACCTTTTCTTTTAGGCTACTGGCCGCCAAACTGTCCTTTAAAAAAACACAAAAATATCCAATTCCTATATTTTTTTGGAAAAGACTTTGTCTTCAAAAGAATTAATCATAATTATCTCCATCGAACGAAAATTTACAAAAAAAATAAAAAAATAAAATTCTAAATATTTAAGCAAGAAGGTGAGCTTAAAGAAGAACAAAATTTTTTTATTGACTTAACTTAGGGATGATATTTGGCCCTCGATATCTATAGTTCTAGGTCAAATGTTAGAATTCTGCCTCTGCCACGACACGCCATTTTAGAACTTTTATTAATGTGCAAAATTTCGTTCAAATCAGTCGCGTCATTACTTCGCAAAACGTATTTCAGCGATTTGTCAATTTGAATCACTGCCAAGGAAACTTACTCGCTGCGCTCCAACGAAGGATTCGTTCAAAATTATTCAATTTTCGAACTCTGATTTAGTTTTATTTCATCTCGAGCTAATGTCTAACTGCATTTTATTTCATTCAATAGATTTGGAAAATAAATATACGTCATATTTTTGATGCAATTTGAACAAATGTGAAAAGTCTTGTATAGCGTGATTTAATACACGCTCGTAGTTGCACAACACTTATTTAATTAATATTTTGTAACTCTGTCTATTTAAATACTAAATTAAATGTATGAAAAAGTTATCAGCACTTAAAAACTTTTTCGAATAATTTAATTATATTAAAAGTTCTCAGGTGTATATTATAACAGTTCGTTATCATTTGTTTTTTTTTTTTTTTGTATGTGTTACATTTATATATCTACTCTATGTACAGTACAGTAGCTTAAATAAAATACTTTGCTTAAATCGCTACACAAAAATATAGAAAACGTGGTACCAGAATACAATAAATCGTTACGAAATTTTTATTATGAATAATTTATATCGGGAATAAAGGGGGCAAAAGTCCGTTGACCATCGATGCGAACATAAAGGATAATATTCCTAGTTCTAAAATATAATTTGCAATAAATAACACACAATTTTAAAAAAAACTGTTTTTATGGATTTAAATGAAATGCACGCATTTCTCAAAACTTAATATTTCTATTTTAAACGTTTTAAGTTGCTTTGTATCATATCCTCAAATCTTGCACTCAAATTTCACTCATATCTAATTAAGATAGAAGACTGAAACTTTAAAGTCCGATGTTAATGCATTTGAATAATGTTTTAGGAAGTGACTATATCTCCATTATCCTTCCCACCCCAAATCTGATAAGCATAACTAAATTTAGAATTTAATCAGTAATATCGATTGGGCATAGCTATTTTAAATCTGGTATTAAATGCATTATAGTGATGTACTGTACACTGTGTGCTGTACTGTATATGATGAAGATGGCTCAA